ATAATGAAAATAAAGAAAATTAAAACAAATGCATCTGCAAAACACGGATCTAATGCATTGTGTTTTTCTTTTTCTTTATTGTTTCCTAATCGTTATTAATGAGATTCTGTCAGATTTTATTTTTATTAACCATTCACTGTTGTTAAAAATTCAATGTTTCTCTTTTTGTTTGCTATTACTCATTTCCTTTCAATGACTATTACTTTTATATATTATGTTGTATATTTGTAAACTTTAAACAATTCCAAGAACAGCTATCTCAAGAGACACATTATGAAACTGCCAAGTACACAGACTTTGAATGAAATACCTGGGTTCAAATTCTGGTGCTGCAAGTACAATCTTTTCCGCCCGGGGTAATTTATTTAAACTCTGCCCTAGTTTTTGTTGCCGTTTTCTCTCTAAAATGGAGGTTAACAGTAAGTACTTCATGTTTATTGTCATGAAAATTAAATAGGTTGTATGTGAAGCACTGAGCCCTGTGCCAAGCTGCTGATGGTAATGTATTATTAATATATAATGCCCATCTATTTTTACATAATGTAAATATATCTGATGGATTTGATTCTTAGCCAGGAACAGAAATACTCATTTCTTTTTTCACTCTAGCCTTATTACATCTATCACTCAATAAGACTCTTAAAAGAATCGCAGCGTTATCAGATGCAACTTATTCATTCATTCATTCATTCAATTTACTTAATGTCCACTTTGTTCTGAACACTGTCTTAGGTTCCTAAGAAGCTCACAGTCTGGAGGGGAAACAGATAAATGAGCATATGATGACAATGTGATGTGAGAATGCCCACCTACCAACAAGGACTGCATGAGGCTCTTTAGGACTCAGAACTCAGCACTTCGCTATGGCCCACTGGATCCCTGAATGATGTGGCCCCAGCCCATTCCTCCAGCCTCTTCCACTAATTCCTACCCCGTCTCCACCCTCTTCCTCATTCTCCCCCACTGCACATGCTTTCTTCTGGTTCCCATGCTCCTCTTTTGTCTCAGGATCTGTGCACAGGCTCTTTCTCTGCCAGGTGGCACCCCCCCTACTCTTCGCACATTGCTTCCTTCTCCTTGTCATATCAGCTTAAATGTCATTTTCTCAGAGAGCCCCTGTGCCATCTACTGACCTGTTGTCCTCGATTTTCTTCATCCTGGCATCTTCATCATTTCCTTCTTACAACATATCAAGTGTGTGATTGTATATCACCCCCTTAGGCTGTGAGCTTCATGCAGAGACCATGCTTGTGTCCATCCCTGTCCACACAACATGGAGCAGAGTAGAATGTAGACAGGGCTCTGTAAAATATGTGTTCCACAGACAAACATCAGGGACGGTGATAGATCTGTGGGTTGAATCTCACCAGACGAATAACGGTTCACCAGGGGGACAAGGAGAAATCATCAGTGGTTAAGAACCATGATTTGGAGGCAAGCACATGAATTTAGAAGGGGTTCAGATTTAAGTTCAAATCTCACTCTTGCTACATACCAGCGATATGAACTTGGGGAAATTATCTTGATTTTATGACCCATAGCATTTTCATCTGTGAAATGGAGATATTAGCACCTAATTGTGAGGTTGTTGAGAGGAGTAGACTTCAGGTATCCAGAGCATGTGGTGATTAAAAATAAATAGCATTGTTAGGTGTGTCTTCAAATGCGATAATGAGGATCGTGAAGTATATGAATGGAAATATTTCAACACAGTGGGTCCTCACGTCTCAGTCTGAGAGCGAAAGACATGGTCTGACCTGAAGCACTAGGCTGCTGTGAGGAAAATTGAATTGTTGCAAAGTCTTTGGAAATACAAAGTGCCTACAGCAAGTTTTTGAAGGTCAAAGATTTACAGTTTCCTTTCACAGCATCCAGAGGATGTAAAAATAATGGTTATTCGTTATCTTAGGTGCTAGTTTAAATGCCGTATAAATAGTATTCATTTAATCCTAAACACTCTGTGAGCTATTATTTCCCTGGCTCTAGAGATAAGGAAACTGAGACACAGAGATGGTGAGAAACTTATTCAAGATCACAGAGCTAGTAAGTGATAGAGCTGGGGCTTCAAGCCAAGCAGCGTGGCATTACAGCCCATGCTGTGCACTGGACTGCTTGTGTGCTCCTGAAACACCTGTGGGATTTGAATGCTATGTGGGTGAATTCAAAGCCCTCGTCCTCCACTTACTAATTATACAGGCTTCGGCAATGTTTTTAATCTTCCTGAGCCTGTTTGCTCATTTAAAAGACGGAAATACAACAATATTTCCTTTGAAGGTGGGTGACATTTCAATAAGCCAGCAGATGTAGTTGTAGGTCCCAGCCTTATAGTTGATGCTCAGTGGAAAGTGGCTAATGGGACTACTCAAAGTCGTCCTAAAATCCACTCGTAGGTCTTGACGTGGTTGAGATTTTACAAGCCTTGATGGCTTTTAATTGAGAAATATGCATCCATGACAGGTAATCAATACGCTCATTTGGCAGCCAGGTTCCAGATGAAATAAAGCTAAATGATGATGCAATTAGAATACACAAACAAATCCCCCACAGAAGCCAAACAGACTTGCCTGCTTTCTCCATCCTAATCATGTTGCCGTGTTTAGAATGCATCTGGAAGGCATTTTCCTCCGTAAGTCTGGACCCAGCTAAATAAATAGGGCTCTTTCCCTCATGGGCTGTTTGCTTCACCTGCTTTCTCCTTGGAGCTCAGTTTCCCTCCGCCCAAGGGTAGACAGCACGTAGGCCTGACTCCCTAAGTGTGAAGGACGCGCTGCACACCTCACTGACAAACATCGTCCCCTAAATTCATTTTGTCATTTCGTTTCTCGTTGTCAGAGAGAATGACAATAGCTTGCGATTTTAATGGGGAAAACAGTTCAGGAGGCATGTTCTCAGCAGTCTCTGGCAAATCTTTCTAAAAAACATCCTTCTTCTCTCCTTTATAGGAGTCTGTGAATTACTAAATGACAAGGCTGTCTTTGTGGTCACCCTCACACTAACCTTCTCCAACTTTCCCTTCCAGTAGTCACAACTCCAGTTTATTAACTTGAAAATGCATCATAACTGCCACATACCAGTGAACAAAATAAATTGTAACCTGAACCAATGTTTTAGTTACTCTTGGTTCAAATTCTAGATCCTCTACTTATCAGCTCTGTGTCTTGGGCAAGTAATGTTAGTTCTGGTGCCTTAATTTCCTCATTTATCAAAAAGGATGATTATGGTCCCTGGCATTGGTTTGATGGGAAAGCTAAGTGAGATAACATATATGCAAAGTTCTGACATGGCTGGCTGCACGTAATAAGTTCACAATGCTTACCAGCTATTTTTATTATTACCACCCTAAATTTTGAGTCAAAGATCAGAAATGAGACTAATTTGAGTTAATTAACTTCTCTGTACAGTACTTTCTGGTAGGTTGGGATATTGTGAAGAACAGGAGTTGTAGGGACAGGTAAACTTGGATTCAGACTTTGGCTCTACACTGCTGTGTGACCTTGGGTAAGTTACCTAACCTCTTTGAACTTCAGTATCCTCATGTGTAAGCTCTTTAAAGAATGTATGTAAATATAAACGTCTCCTCTCAGAAATTTGGAATTTTAGCTTAAGCTAAAGCAGGCAAATTTGTGACTATGTTAGAGTGTACAACTGCTACATATCCATGAAGCTCGTGATACTGGCGTGATCTAAAACTGCTTCCAAAGTGGCCAGTCATAGGACCGGTAAACTGGAAAGCGTCTCTCGGTATCATCTTGTCTGACACATTCATTTTATAGGGAAAAAAGCCCAAAGTTCCAAGTTAAGTGACTCATCTGCAATGACACAGCTAGTAAAAGGCTGAGTCCAAGAAGAGATCCCAATTATCCCACAGTGATCAATATTCCGTCCTATCTGTCAAAGCAAGGCAGAAGAACGAAATAAAACAGTGAATTCAGATTAAAAACAAAGGTTGAAGGAAGGCAGAGAAGGAAAGGAGGGACGGAGAGAGGGGAGGGGAAGAGATAATTCAAATAGAGTGTGTGACATCATTTGGAGCACATGACAGTCCTGTGGTGCAGAGCATGGTGAAGCTGGAGTGATGGGGTGGGGACAGGGCAGAGGAGAGGCTGTGTGGTTGCAAATCCCAGCTCTACCACTTCGTAGCTGTGCAGTCTGGAAGAAGGGACTTAACTTCCCCGTGCCTCAGCTTTCTACTATCACCCTCTCTGTAAGGTTGTTGCGAGGGCTAAAGAGATGCTGGTTATAAAATGATCAGTACAGGGCCTGGCGCATGGGGAACATGCAACACAGTTAGCTATTCTTACCATTGAATGTGAAGCTGGCATCTCTTTTTGTTTTATTTTTAAAGCAGCTATTTTGAAATCATCATTTTATGTTTTTTCAGTTAAATGCCACAGAGCTAACACTGTGATAAGGCGTTGGAAGTAATTATAAGAGAAGCAAAGGGCCAGGGGAGGGGACTGCGCAGGAAAGAAGCACCAATATGTATGAAGGGCTTACTATGTGTAAGGCACTGTGGGGAACAAATATGATGCAGGGCCTACTATGTGTAAGATGCTGTGGGGGAGCTTTTCATGTCTTCTCCTACTTAATCCTTATCACAGGCCTGTGGGGAAGGTATTATCGCTCTCAGTTTACAGATGAGGAAAATGAAACTCTGAGTGATTAAACCATTTGACCAAGGCGTTTCTAATGCAAAAACCTCTTTCCTCTCCCTTCCAAGACATAGTCCCTGCCCACCAGGAAGGCATTGGATACAAGCCTGTTTTCAAAAGAAGCAGCTTACAGTCCTAGAAATCTTTAAAAGAAAGATCCAAGAAAACCGCCTAATACTTTTTTGGGGGGTTTAGGCAAATTGCCACTATTAGCTGTCTTATACCATTTCCACGAAGAACTCTCCCGCATTTTCCCATCCCCTTATTCTTTTCTAAAGTATGAATCACCAGATTGAAAAGTAGGCAGTCTCTGAGTTTATGTGTCTCTCTGTGTTTTCTCTTTCCCAGGATAAATAGTATTGCTGCTCCCAAGAAAGCTTAATTCACAATGCCCTTCTTGGACACTGATGGAAATGTCTAATTAAGGTAAAATACATATATATACACACATATTAATTAAATTTTATGCATGATTAACGTTCTTATACCTATTCTATACTCAAGTGATTGTGGTCTGCAGAAACCCACTGACGGGCAAGGGAAAGGAGAAGAGTAATAACCGTGGTGCTATTTTCATTTTCTCTTTAGTCTTGAGGAAAATCTTGTAAAGTGGCATTCTCAACAAGCTTCTGTCAGTAGGGTCTGTCACAGTTGGTGGAGGTGACTGGCATTAGATGTGCAGATTTCTTTTGGCTTGAATGGATTGGTTTTCTTCCTTGTGAAGCTTTTTTTTTTAATTTAATCTTTGGAGAAGCCCAAAGGAGAGGATTGAACCTTTGTTTGCAATACCAAAGGAAAGCCCAGCATTTAGAAAATCCTTATAAATAGGATTTCCTCTGTTGAACTTGACTGAAAGAGATTCTAGTTGAACGTGGAAAGGGCTATATTTAAGTAGGCAAGTAAATTCTTTGGTGTATGGGAGAAAAAACTTTTCCTCTACCCTCTTAGGTTTAGTACTTGAGGCTTGTGAATTAAACTGACAAAAGACAGAGTAACAGGAGAAAAAAATTACACGTGCAAAGAGCATACATTTGAGAGCGCTCAGCGATGAGTAATTCAAAGGAGTGGTTATACATTGGGACTTCTGTACCTAATTTAGTATTGGAAAGTGAGGGGAAGAAAAAGCTCCTATGAGAAGAACAAATAGGTTTCTTTAGGAAAGACAGATGGGTTTTTTGGGAGAACAAATGGGAGATAAGAAAGTTTGTGATAAATACTTGTCTATACAAGTATGAATGGTTGGTCTTTTCATCTTCTTCAGAACCATAAAACTCCCCAAGAGATGGCATTTAATAGTAGCTTTACCCTTCGTCTTTCTCCTGGGAGCAGACCCACCCCAAAGAGGGAATTTAAGGCAGTCCTCATTTCTCAGAAGTTTCTGCTTTTAGTCAAATAACGGAAGCTCCGTGAAGGACAGCTTCTTTCTGCATCTGCTGAATCTCAAGAGTCTTCAATAATCTTTATACCAAATCTGGGGTTCTGAGTGTGTTCCCACATTGGCTATCAGAAGATATTTCTGCATTTGGCTTTTTTGGGGGTTAAGGTTTTACAATCTGTTATCTTTTTAGCTTAGAGTAATCAGTATTTAGCAGGGCATGAATGAAAATACAATATCATATTTTTATAGGAATTCATGAGGATCATTGGATATTCTATGCTTTTTTAAGTTTTATTCTTTGGTTTTGATCACAGCTCATGTCTGAGAGAGAGAATTCCCACAGAGACTGTGTGGGATGTCCCTGTGTTGGTGATGCTCTCTCAGGTTGCAAAGAAGACAGGACTAGTCCAGTTACATCAGCTGATGGGGAATTACTTTAAAAGTACCGGGAAAAGTAAGGAAACCATCTGAGCAACAACACAGTCAGGTTTTATGAAGAAGAGGAAAGACGTTCAGCACATAATAGTGACCCTGAGGTGTAGCCAGAACCACTTCATTTTACTGTACCTTTATGACTGCTGAGAACCACCTCTGCCTGTAGCGTCTCCATGCTTGCAACGCAGAGGGAGATGAGCGTTGCCCTCCATTCCCACTACTACAGCTGTCTCTGCTTCTGTCTGTCTTGTGGCTTCTGTGTCATGCTGAAGCGCACACACATCCAGATTCTTAACGTAGAAGGATCAGATTAAGTTGATTTGTCACTATTCCTTGTAGGATGTCTTAGTTGGAAGAGTCCCTGTGTGAAACATTCTCTAGGTCCCCAGACTCCCTAAAGTCTAGTCCACCACACAGTTGTTTGTAAGTAGCCGTTGTGCAAACACAGGGTCCACTGAGGTGTGGCCAGGGTAACAAATCTACATGGCTTAAACATGAAAGGTAGAAGAAACAGTCTTTGGCCTCTTTCCTAGGAAGGGGCTGTGGGAATGTCAGGCACTTGTAGAAGAACTCTCATTCTTTGGGATGCTGGGTTTTTTGTTTGATCAGACTATTGATTGCTAATTCCCTATGCATTGCAATGTCCTTTAGGAACACCAGAATAGCAGAATTTCCTTGGTTCATATGTGAGAACACGACTGAAACCTGTTCGGACCGGTCCAACAGAAAGGCTGCCATTGAATAGGAAAACAAACTTGGACCATTAAGAATGAAAGACAAGCTGGGATTCTATGCTATAAGAAGCAACATAAGAGACAAGCTAAGGAAAGGGAAGGGCACTTGTGAAGGAACCAAAAGGAGATGCTTGAGAGGAGAAGTGTCCAGGGAATGAGATATAGATCATCCCAGGCTTTTCCATAGGGGAGCATGAAAGGAACATGGGATGTCCTTTTTTAGGACTCAGAGGTCCAGAGTCTGAGAGTAGTCAATAAAAGGCAACTTGAATAAGACTCTTGATTCATCCACCCCAAAGAATCAGTGAGTGGCCTAAGATAGGAGAGATATGAGAGGGAAACACAAGAAAGAGAACTGAGTCAGGGAATTAACGAGTCCTTAGAAGGAAAGTTGTCCCAATCTCCTCTGCCTCCTTCTACCCAAACTTCTAATGACTTGGAGTAATCTAAGGCAGCAAATTTCCACTTACGCTAAAGTATTTCTCTAAAAATCAAGCAATACCAAGCTTTTTCTTTCACACAAAAAAATAGGTTAATAGATAAAATGTTCTCATTTTAAAACTATCCTCCCTCAGTTTTGTCCTGAAACTTTGGGACCTGCTCTGTTAGATCTTCCATGTGTACCTGCCAGGGACCAAAGTGATAGACATGTTACAAATGATGTTAATGGAAAGACTCAGAAATAGGTGATCATGCTTAGGTCATGATGTATTTTTTTTATAGATTTGGATTCCTTTGCTCTGGTTTTCTGTTGCGTTTATACACAGCAATCTAATCACATTTTCTGCTCATAAAAGTCATACTTAGTAAAGATACTGGGATTAACTGTGTCTTTTGTACTGGGGCTGTGCAATCATCATGGTGTGCTGTGACTTCCAGGTGCTCTGCCACCTGGACATTGTACAGAACCACTGTTCAGGTCATAGTTTCCATATGTGACTCCCATGTTTTTACGAACTTTGTTATTGTTGATTACGTTTCCCAGACTCTCTTTCTACAGCACTTCACTGTGTTCTCACATGCAAGAGAGTATATTTGCCCGGCATTTCCAGACAAAGACTTGAGGCTTGCAATATGATAGCCTATAGGTCACCCAAGGCCACCAAGATGCATGATAAACTCAAGAAAATGCCAACTCAATGACTTGCCCGGAATGTTCAGGAGATGACGCCTCCTTCTGGGGAGCCAGATGGCAAATGAACGATCTGCTGATGCTTTTACAAAATGGAGGTGAAAAACACTTCATGACCAGTTGACTAGGCCTAGAAAAGGGACTGGAGAGTTGGTCAAAAGTATTTATTAAGCACTTGTCACATGCTTTAGGAATAAGGTCAGCTGAGGAGGAAGGTCTCCAGGCTGATCTTTTCAATCAGATGAGCCAGTTTGTGAGAGGAGGAAGACAAGATGGGAATCACGTCAAGAAGCCTCCAAATTAATGACTTGGGTAAAAGTTCTCCACCACAGACATCTGGATGGTGAAATCCACGTCTTAACTCAGGGAACTGGCTTGCCTAGATGGCTAATGCCAGAAGTCAGTTTTCCAAAGACTGGCTAGAAAGAGAGAAATTTTATCTGGGTAGCCAAACCATGGAGCTCTAAACCAAAGTCCTTGAGAGATGGTGAGGTGTTGAGAACATAAACCAAATACGAACTCTAAGTCTGAAGGGCAACACTTCTCTTAAGAAGGCAGAAAGAAGAGGCAGAGCCAAGGGTCAGAAATAAAATGTCTAAAATTTATGGAGCACTTGCCATCTAACTACCAGGCACTGTTCATTATGTACACATGTTAACTCGTTTAAATGAGAATGATACTAATATCATCCCTATCTTGCAGAGGACAAAATTGAGGCACAAAGAGTTCAAACAACTTTCCCAAGGTCATGCAACTAGGCCACTACGGAGCTGGGATATGAACTCAGGTAATATGGCTGCAGAACCAATTTTCCTGATGGCCACATGATACTGCCTCTCAATTTCAAAGGAACTGGTTTAGATCTATGTTGAACAAAGGAAGAGAATCCAGGAGGATTCACCCAAACAAAAAGAAGTCTTTAGTTTGCCTCTATGGCCCTGTGTGTGGTCAGTGTATGAGGCAGGCTTCAAGTTAGAGCAAGGGAGCAGGGAGCTCTGGGGGAATCATCCAGTGGTTAGGAATTCTCCAGCAATGACCTGTTGCAAATTTGGAGCTTGTCACAGCTCTGAGTGTATGTTTAGTGTGAGGTGCCCTCTCTATGATCCCTTCCTCCTTTGCATATTCTGCCACTGGAATCTCTGTAAGGTGGCGTGTCTGTAAGTCAGTCCTAGCAGACATATTCAAGGGCAGCATCTCCATGGTTCAGACAAGAGCTGAGCCACATGAGCTTCCTGTCTGTCAACATCAGGGTATTCATCTGCGCCGAGCTGAGGCCCACCCCATGGCCCCAGTGCCCACAAACCGAAGCCACTATTCAATCACCTCTGAGTTGGCGCCAGGTGTGCTCCATCTTCAATTGCATTTCCTGGCCTCGTCGGAGCACAGGGTTGGCTGAGGTGACCCTTCCTCACCCTTGTGAAACAGAAGCCCTCACAAATCTTTTTGTCTGACCTTGTTCCCGGGAGACCATCCGGCTCCTGAAATGCTGCATGTGAGTTTTGCAGCTCTTGTCCTCTAAGAAAAGGCTTCTGGTGCTGTAGCTTGCAAGCAAAACGCTAGAATAAAGCTAGGGAAATTAGACTCATTTCCTATTCCGTCCCCACCAAGCACCACTTTTGTAAATAAGCCTTTTCATCCCTTCCCCCACACCAGGCACCCCTTCCCTCCTCTGCATTCTAATGGGCAATCTCTTTACCCCAGAATTGTCAGGAAAGCACTGGCTGACAGGTTGTGTTATTGCTTCTGATCCAATTGGTCACATTGTGTAACATCTTAACTCCTAACCTAATCCGATGGATGCAGCTTGACAGGGCATAGCGGGGATGCTGGTCCAGCTTCTCGGAGCTGTGTTTAAGATCCTGCCTCCCTGCAAGCTGCTGGAGACCAGCACAGCATTCAAAGCACTTCAGGGCCTATTTCTTGGTCAAAGTAGGTACAAGAGTAGCAGCCTATCCCCAACTGCAGGGTTAGGTCCTGAGAAATACCTGTGGCCATTCTTCTTGTTTGAAGAAGCTTCATGATCTTAAGTCGGTATAAGAAAAAATACTGTTTAGGGGCCTGAGGTTGTGGTGACCCTCAGAAATCTCTTTAAATGCCTTTTCATATTCAATAAAGTCAATAAATAATAAAAATGGCACATTCAATAACGAGAATGTCAATGACAGTTTACACGTTTCCAATTTAAAATAAGAGGATTGAGGGGCTGGCCCGGTGGTGTAGTGTTTAAGTTCCTGCGCTCTGCTTCAGCAGCCCTCTATTCACAGTTTCGGATCCTGAGTGCAGACCTATGCACCACTCATCAAGCCATGCTGTGGCAGTGTTCCACGTACAAAATAGAGGAAGATTGGCACAGATGTTAGCTGAGGGCCAATCTTCCTCACCAAAAATAAATAAATTAATTAAATTAAATAATCCTTTAAAAAAATAACAAAATAAAATAAAATAACAGGATTGAACAAGTCAGTCTTATGTACTATCTCTTCCCCAGGAGAAACTTTCAGCTTGTGTATTTGTTTTACTTTGTTGTAGACAGGTGCATGCTAAGAGAAATTTAGTCCTTCTGCGTCTGGTCCTCCATGTAGATATTCAGGACCTTTCTGATTTTATGGCCCAGAGTTGATTACATCAGCCTCCTGGGTCCCACCTATTTGCCCGAGCTCAAAGCTAGCTCAAAGCGTGTGCTGTCAGCTTATTTCTTCCAGTACCCTCCTCCATCTCCTTGAAGGTGCAAGGTTGGAGTGGGGGGTAGTTTACATTCAGTTCTCTTTCTTTCTCTCGACGCTTATTTACAAAAGCCATCATTCTTGTTCTGCTCCATGATTAATTCTTTCACTCTTTAATCTAGCCCAACCCCAATTATTTCCCAATAGCTCTAGAGTCATAGAGATCCAACTTTGAGTCCTATCTCTGACATTTGCTAGCTGCGAATTCTTGGATAAGTTAATTAACTATAGTAGCCTCAGTCTAATCATCTGTAAAATGGGGAAATACTACTTCAATTCCATTGGGTCGTTGTAAAGATAAAGTGACATAATGCATACAAAGTGCATAGCACAATCTTGGACCCACAGAACATAGTCAGAGCCACTCACTATTAGGAGTCATGTTGTCATGACAAGCATGGATTCATCCAGCTTCATTTTTCAGATCCACCACCTACTACCCTTAAGACTGAGCAAGCTTACTTTTCTGAACCTCACTTTTCTCATCTGTACTAGGGGGATAATAGTACAATGAGCCCTACCATAACAGGATAAGTGGGCCATAAAAAATCAATCACATAAAACAAGGAGTTGCAGTAATGAAATAACCGAAGAGCCTTTAGAGTCTGCTGGCCGAAAGTTTGAAGAGTCCACCTGGGCAATCTAAATCCATTCAGCTCCTTATTGTGATTTGGCGTCCTCGGGTAGCAGTAGGCCACTGCAGCTTAAACATCAGTGGGGGCTATTCTGCATCACATGGCTCAATGGAATCTCCTATAGTTAGATGTGGCCTGTCTTGTCTCAACTTGTTGGGCCAGGAGAATATTGGAGATTCTGGGACCCATCTTCAGCCTCCTTGATTCCCAGACAGAGTTGACTGACATTTCATTGCCCAACCTCACCTCCATCTACAGAAAATAACTTTATTCAGTCTCCTTTTCTGTTTGGAAATAGGGGTTGGAGAGAGGATGAAAGCTAGTTACCAATCACAACATATATGTGAAATCATGATTGTTATAATTATGCTTGGTCAACATACGTATGAAATTACCATGTGTATTTTGTCATGGGGTTTTATGGTATCTATCTTTAAATTTGTGTGAAGTTAAATGGGATTAACATTAAACACACTTTGATGTCTGTCTTAATCATTTCAGGCTGCTATAACAAAATACTACAGACTGGGTAGCTTATAAACAATAGAAATTTATTTCTCCCAGTTCTGGAGTCTGGGAAGTCCAAGATCAGGGTGCCAGCATGCTCAGGTGAGGGCCATTTCCTGGTTCAAAGCCAGCACCTTTTCACTGTGTCCTCACATGCTGGAAGGGGGCTAGGGATCTCTCTGGAGCCTGTTCTATAAGGCACTAATCCCCTCCATGAGGGCTCCACCTTCATCACTTATGTCCTCACCTACTATTACCATCACCTTTAGGGGCAGGATTTCAACATACGAATTTGGGAGGACACAAACTTTCAGACCATAGCAGGCACTTAGCACAGTTCCCGGCACATTCTTATTACATTATGAGACTTATTACTGATAAAGATATAACACATAAGTTGAAACAAAAGTTCTTGAGGTTTCCATGAAAGTATAAAGAACTAAACTGACATAAATCTGAATTGCACTTAATAGGAACTCCAAGTTGAGAAGAGATTACTGTGATTCTATAGTATTAGAATTCATGAAATTTCCCACCTAAGATAAATGTCTGCAGTTCATGAAGCAGATTTAAATTAAATACATATAATCAATCAGCCCATAGATATTTTGCTTCACCAGGCTGACAGGATGGGCACCTCTCCAACCTTCCCACACCCTCTGGCAGAGCTTGGGTGTCTCCTTGTTACATACTAAAGGCTTGATGTCCGTTTTAATAGAATTTCACCTGAAAAGAACTGTGTGATTCCCCCTCATGTCTATATATCCTGGATGGGCCCTGACTGCCGGAAAAGAAGGGGCAGCCGGGACAATTGGAAAGATATCTTCCGTCATGATCTATAAAATCTGTTTGCAACAAAAAAAGAGGCTGATACTGTACTGGGTTTCCTAGGACACATTTTTTGGTGCTGAAGGCACAGCCATTGTAGTATGCTCGTAAAATCTTTCTTTGAATAGTAGTTTTAATTCCATTCCATAGCATTGTGCTATGTTCTATCCAAAGTTTTGGAGGCAGAAAAGTAAAAGAGACATGGCTGGTCCCTAATTCGAAGGAGTTCACAGTCTAAATGAAAAATAAAGGACATGTATGCAAACAGGAATAATACACAGCAGAGGGCAGCTTGGAGAGAAAAGAGCTTTGAGTCAGAGAGACCAACAGAAAGCTTGTGCAACATCCCAAATGAGAAATGGAGGGATGAGGGTGCTGGACTAGGGCAGTGGTAGCAAAAATGGAGAGAAGGGGACAAAGAGAGGAAAGATCTTAGCTGGGAGCTCAGGGAAAGTATAAAGAAGGGGACAGCCAAGACACTTGGAAAATCAAGGCTCAAAGAAAAGAAAAGCTTTGAATTTTAAAATCAAAATGGTTGTATTCTCATACTGTCAGATCAATTTCCAAAGAATTTGAGCCCCTGGTGATTCATTTCAGCACCTTTTAAGGTATCTGTGTTCATCAGTTGCTTGATACATTCAGAAACAAGCTACTGATGAAATGTATGTATTTTAAAATATTGTTTTATTTCTTTTCTTGTTTTTTAGTCCCAAAGTACTTTAGAAGTTCAAAGGAAGCTGTGAGTCTTATGCGGCCTACCTAGGGAGGCTGGAGGTGGGTGATGCCATTATCAGCTGACAGAAAATCAGGTTATAAGTCCTATTTGTTTTGCAGTGTCTCCATGATGTCACATTAGGAGGTGATGGCTGCAGTTATGGGAAGACATTTGTTCCAATGATGTTCATAAATACACTTTGTTAGGCAGTTATGTCGAATCCATCTGCTTTTCCCTCCCTCTCTGAGGGCAAGCTGCTTTTCAGCTGTTTGATTTCTCTCTCTGAGATAGGACTGTACTGACTGAGAATCTGGA